CATTTTTTGCTGCTCTGCACCATGATATTTAATTTGTAAGAATTTTGACCAATTGTCCTCATCTGGGGGGCTACTGGTCTCATAATGAAATTACACTCATTTGAAAAAAAAAAAAAAAAAAAAAAACCAGCATGGCGGCAATGACAGCGAACATCTTCTATGGCAGCTCCCGACACAAACATGGACAAGGTAAAAATCCTAATCAAATTTTATGATTGAAACTAGTTTATTTATGCACAATAATGTCTGTAGCTTTACCTGGCATGCTTATTTGATATATTTGAGTAATATTAGCAAGCTACAACGTCTGTAAACATGACGTACTGTTTGAGGAGATCAGGTCTAGCTTCAGTGCAAAAATGTAAAATTTTTCAAAGATCATTTGTGTTTATTTCTAGACAAAATGTCTAATTTCTAGTCAAAATAAGTCTTATTACATAAAATAAGACTCATCCTCCAAAAATAGACAATCACCACTTGTTTCAAGCGAACTTTCACTAAAAAATATGTAGAATAATTTGCCAGTGGAGCAAGTTTTTATTTTCTATTACAAGGAAATAGATTGTGCATTTTTATAATTACAGGGGGAATGTCCTTTTTGAGAGCTGAACGATTGCTAAATGCAATCGCAAATGACTGAGATTGAAGATTTGTCAGATGGTGAAGAGGATGATCCTGCTGTGGGTGAAATCACTCCATGTGAAGCAACTGTGGAGCAACCTGATGATTCTGATTCAGATTATCAACTTGATGCTGCTGACATAAGTGAAGATACTGACAGTGATGCGAGTGAGCCACCACATAAACAACAGCATCTTTTTTCTGATGAACCTGACCAGGATGTGCAAGGTTGCAGGGCAGGACCAAGAAATGGAAACAGAGTACTGGAAGTGTGCTCCATTCAACACTGTTTTAGTCCCATTTTAAGGAGCTGATGAACAACAAGACAAGAGAGCAGATATGTCGCTGGTGCAGTACATGGAACAGTACGTTGACATAGAACTGATGAAAGTCCTTGCCGACTGTACAAATTCTATGTCATTAGCTAAAAGTGGCAGATCTCTCAACACATCGGTTGAAGAGATGTACCACTTTTTTGGAGCATCCATCTTGATGTCCTGTATCCCTTACCCACAAATCTGCATGTTTTGGTCCACTAACCTGAGAATCCCTGCCATTAGTGACACAATGAGACGCGACCGATTCTTCAAGCTGAGGAGCCATCTGAAGGTGGTAATTGATGACGACATACCTGAAGACAGAAAAACAGACAAATTCTGGAAGGTGAGGCCTTTCATGAATCGCATACTCAAAGGCTGCCATGCTCAGGCCCGACCAGTATCCATCTCAATAGATGAACAGATGATACCATTCACTGGAGCCTGTCCGTTCCGCCAGTATGTGCCGCTGAAGCCAAATCCAGTTGGCATGAAGAATTTTGTCCTGGCAACAGCAGTGGTGTCGTTCTCGACTTTGAAGTTTACCAAGGTTCAAAGGCACTGGCTGCACAGGTGCCGGACACAGAAGGATTGGGTTTGGGAGCCCTGGTCCTCAAACAGTACATCCTGGTACAAAGGTGTACTGCGATAGGTTCTTCACCACCACATCAGCTGTGGAATCCATGCTGGAGAAGCAGGTGTACCTAACTGGTACAGTTATGAAGAACAGGATCCCAAAAGCAATGCAGAAGCTCCCAACTGACAGGCAGAGGTACCTCCGCATCAGTTGTGAGGGGAGATGGGAAACTAAATGTTGTAAAATGGTTTGACAACAAGCCGGTCCTGATGCTCTCTACTGTCCATGCTAAGGAGCCAGAGGATACCTGCCAGCGGTGGTCCAAGAAGGACAAACGCTACCTAACCATCACACGACCAAATATTGTACAGGAGTACAATGCAAAGATGGGTGGGGTAGACTTGTCAGACAGAATGATGAGCTACTACAGGATGAGGGTGCGAACAAAGAAGTGGACGATTCGCATGGTTATGCACTTCATGGATCTTGCTCTGGCCAACAGCTGGCTGCAGTATCGCAGAGATCATCAAGAACACGGTACCCCAAGAAAGGCTATCACGACGTTCCGCATGGACGTGGGTCAAGTGTTCCTCAACAAGTGTGATGTCATGCAGAGGAAGAGAGTGCATGCTGTCCAAAAACTGGCCAAACATCCCTGGTCACTCCAATCCCTCACATCTCAGCGCGCACAACTTCTGCTGCTCATCTGCTGGAAGTTGCTGATCTCAAGAACCCGATGCGTTGCAGACAACAAGGCTGCTCTGGGAAATCCCGTGTACGCTGTCTGACATGCAATGTGTTCCTTTGCCTGCAAAGTCGGCGCAACTGCTATGAAGCCTTTCATGGAGTCCAGTAGAACTACTTGAATACTTGAATGTTTGTTTGAGTTTGCTATGACACGTTCATAATGATGTTTATAAACGTTGCACTTATCCATGCAATGCCTTTCACAGAGGCAAGCAGGAATACTTGAATTATTTACTGAGTTCGCTATGACATGTACATAAACTTTGCACCTTTCGATGCAAAAGCAACACTGTGTTTGTTGACAGTATAAAATAAACTTTTGTACTTCGTTAACCAATAGTGTCTTCATTGTGAAAGTCTGGACAGAAAGCAGCGTAAATGTACATACTGTGAAACACAGATGTAAATAATAACATTGATTGAATGGTCTTATTGTCACACAGATAGACCCAATGTCCTCCTATGAGGACATTTAGTTTTGATATAACCACTTATTATAGATAGCTAAAATTTCATTCTTAGGCTAATTGGGTCGTTATGATCCCAAATAGCAAGGAAAAAATTTATATGCAAATTTAGACCCAATGGCCTCATATGAGGACATTGGTTTTGACATAGTTCAAGAGCACATAGGAAGCTAAAATTTAATTTCAACTAAAATTAGGTAAGACTAATCCCAAATAGTAAGGAGACATAAAAAATGCACATCAAACAAAAGCCAGGGTCTCAGGAGGTTGAATGAGGTATTAGCTATTTCCGTTACTTATTACCCATGTTCAGTAAGTCATGCTTGTGATTATCCACGTGCTATTGATGACATTGCAGCTTTCTTTAGCATGGATGCTCATTTTTAGCATCAGAACACTGGGTCCAAACCGATGGGCACACTTTGGCAGGCCCCAGTTAAATTTCTTCAGAAATTTTCTAGTTAGTATATTTTATTTTCTGTTTGACAATTTACAGTAATTACTGTCACTATGACCACTACATTATTTTGATGTTTTTTTCCCCCCTCTTGGTTCTTTTCCATCTATACATTTTTTTTATTATCCTTTTCTTCTTTCTTCTCTTCATCTCTCTTTTTACTTTTAATGCCCCAAAATGGGTTACTTCCAGTTAGTTTGTTGTTTTGCTCTCTTCCCAGCAATTTATAACAATGTGTGTATATATCAAAACGGCCCCTGTGTAAACGGGACAAGGAAAACTTCCGGGTCAGGCCACATGTCTCACAAAATAAATAAAAATAAAAAAAATAAAAATGCACAGTCCCTATCTGTTTTTTTCTCCGCCGTTGTGCACAAACAACATCGGAGAAAAAACAGATAGCTAGTTATCTAATTATCTAACCGTGGTCATCAAACTGTCGGACAACGGTTACAATCGTAACCGTCGGTTAGATAATTAGATAACTAACGAGAAACATCATGTATTCTAACCCGATAGACCAAAAACGTGCAAGCGCACGAGCAGCAAATCAGCCAACACAAAGCAATCAGACTTTACGTTTTTTATTCTTTTTAGCGCTAAAAAAGAGACGCTTACCATTACAGAGTAGAAGTGAAAACAAGGGGCACCGAGCCCCTTGTTCAGGGAGTGTATTTGACCTTGGTAAGCGCCTCAACACTAGTTATATAATTATCTAACCGTGGTCGACCGTAACCGTCGGACAACGGTTACGATCGTAACCATCGGTTAGATAATTAGATAACGAACGAGAAACAACATCGGAGAGGTAACCGTTGTAACGTAAAGGTCGATCTCCGATGTTGTTTGTCTGACGGTTACCTAATTTCTCGTTCGTTATCTAATTTCTCGTTGTGGTTTAACAAACAAAAACGAAAAAAAAAAAAAATAAAACGTGTCTGACTTTTTTCAGTTTTGGTTTCAAAGAAACTAGCTCCCTGAAGATACCTGGAGCTCGACGGACTCCTTGCTCCCTGCTCTACCACTAGCCTTCCTCTGAGCTCCATGGCAGCCTGTGGACCGTGACTCACCTACACCATCCAGCTTCTCGAACCAAGGCATCGCAGAAAGCTTTGGTTTTGTGACATCCGCTCCAACAGCTTCCGAAACAGGAGCATTTAATCCACTATCAGGCCGATTTTTTTTATTTTTTATTTATGCATCGTAATAGTGATCGACGACACGAATTACGTGCATCAGACATTCACGTAATTTTGACTTCGTAAATTCTGGCCTGGATTTAATTTGATCCGACTGCTAACCTCTAGTCTAGTCGTTAGGTAACGTGCCAGTTCCTCGCGCTGAAAACTTACCTGAAGTTGCCTGCACTGTGAAGCTTCCTCGAGCCCGCTGCTAGTGTTAGCAATATTAGGAAGCCTGTTGACACGGACGCCTAAAACTACAGAACAGCCCTTTCAGAAGTGGCGCAGAAAATCCACGTCATGGTATACAATTTCACCTCCTCGCTGATTCACCCGGTAAAAATCTTACTCGGTAAAAATCCATGCGATGGGCAGAAAGCCCAGGAAAGCACTGAACGCAACGGCCAGGCTAAAGTAACTCTGCCCTCTTCGACGTTATTACTTCACTCCCAACAGTTATTTCACTTGAGCCTATATATGGCGCATCTTTCAAAATAGAATTTGCCCTTGATCACGTCGTGAACTATGACGTTTTGTCACACGCAAAGGCCAGAACCCTTTAATACGTCATAGTCACTGGCTTAACATTACCAACCGTGATTCGATTTACTTCATTTCTGTTGGAAACTACTCCCAGAAAACTTCAGCAACAATCTGCTGTTTTTAGACAAAAACAACCCTAAAAAATTGTTGAAAACAGCAAAGTTGGACATAAGATAGCTACGATAGAGAACTAAGGAAAGAAAATGAAGCGGATAAATCAACAGTGTTCTGAGGATCAGCTTAACACTTTTGAAAACCAACAGGTGCACGCTGCTTTCCAAGAATTACAAAATGAGATTTCACAAATTGCCATCTCTCCAGAGACCCGAAGCTTAGGATCAACTGATACACAGGAAAGCCAGGCAAAATCATTTCCTCTGAAAGGGACGAAGTCGTCAATGGGACATTCAGCAGGACAACATCCCAATCCAGTAACTTGTAATGTGGCAGACACTTATGAAAACCAAGATGTTCTCACTGTCCTCAAAAAATTACAAAGTGAGGTTTCGGATACTTCCAACTCTCCGGAGACCCAAAGCTTACAATCGGCTGTCAGTGACAATGGCGGGTTAAAATCCTTTCCTCAAAAAACGATTAAATCCTTCACTGAAAATGTAACAGGACAACGACCCAATCCAGTAACTTGTAGTGTGCCAGGGACTTTTGAAAACCAAGCGATACGCACTGCCTTCAAAGAATTACAAAACCAGGCTCCAACTATTTCCATCGATCCACAGACCCAAAACATAGAATCAGCTTTTATTGATGATGGCCAGTTAATCTCATGTCCAAATGAAGTGATTAAGACCTTGGCCGAAAATGTGGCAGGACAACGTCCTAATCCAGTTCCTTATAGTGAGCCCGGCACTTTTGAAAACCAAGAGGTACGCGCGACCTTCAAAGAATTACAAAAACATGTTTCAGGAATTTCCATCTCTCCACATACCCAAAACTTAGAATCAGCTGACTTTGAAAAAGGCCATTTTAAATCATTTCCTGGAAATGCGATTAAGTCTTTTATTAAAAATGTAGCAGGACAACATTTTACTCCAGGACCTTGTACTGCCTCTGTGCAAGTTCCTTCTCCAGAAAGTTATACGGCCTCTGTACAAGTTCCTTCTCCAGAAACTGGACCTTTTGTACAATTTCCTTCTCCAGAACCTTGTACTGCCTTTGAACACGTTCCTTATGCAGAGAAGTCTACTCCTTTTAATTTCTTCAAGAGGCCTGCTACTGGAACCATTCCTTCAAAGCTCAGAGGCATTGGCAGAAAACATGATCCCCATGTTCCCAACATTGGGGAGCAGGGAACCAGCAAATCGGAAGTAGCTGCTCTACCATCTGTTACCAAGAGGGACCTTGATAGCGTGGAGGCTGGGCTACCAGGAGACACTATAGCACGAATTAGACACAGGGCAGGTCAAGACAATCAAGAGAAAGGAATACAATGTTTTGAGCACGGCATTGCTCAGGGAGAAGATGATTTGACTGACTGCGAGTTCCACTGCAAAACTTGCAAATCCAATGTTAAACCCTCTGTGCTTAAGGAGTTTATCTCTGAGGTGTCAGACTTACTTCAATGCCAAACATGTAAACATGAAGTTTACATTATTTCTGCTGTCATCAATAGGCTTTTGGAAAAATACCCCCGTGATTCTAAACGACTGCTGCTGTGGGAACAGTCTGGTGTTCTAAAAAGGCGCCTCTCCATTTACCTGTCAGCTCACTTAGGCATTCAAAAATGTAATGAAGTTGATCGGAAACTAAACTCGGATTACTATGCCAAGGTCATCGTTAACAACCTTCTAGGAATTTATGGTTCACCAAGAAAGCTGATCACAGCAGCAGTTCTTCCAGACAGCAACTTTTGCGATGACTTTGTAGCGTTTGTTGGATGTGAACTCGTAAAGACGAGAGCATACAAGAAATATGGTATGTTTAGAAGAGTTGTAAAGCCTTTCAGAAAAGCCTTCAATTGGACTTATGATCAGTTCGCTCCAGCCACACAAGTGATGTTAGATCTCAGTTGTTGTGGATTTGCTTTTAGAAAAGACAGCGAAAATTATTAGGGGGGATTATAAGGAGGATAACAAAATACATCCTCATTTCTATTTTCATTGACTTTTTTTATTTGTTCATTCTGGTGGAGGTTTTTTCCTGTTAAAACAGAGTTTTCCCTCTTAGGTGATATTAGATTAAAAAAACTCAACAACAACAAAAAACCTTCCAAAGTAGACAGACATAAAATTTCCTTCGGTTCTGTTCTAAACATAAATTAGCTTAATTTTAAAAAAAGTTGACTTATGGGTTCTCTCTGGGTCATTTTCTTTTGTAATACTTACTTTGCCATGTAACCTTCATGGATAAGTAAATCAGTTTTGTTTCATCGTCATTATTCTAAATTATTAAATGTTAAACAACATATGTTAACATGTGTTAACATATATTAACTATATGTTAACATATATTAACAACAATATGTTATAATATTTACGATATGTTAACAATGTTAACATATATTAACGATATGTTAACAACAATATGTTAACAACAATATGTTAACATATATTAACGATATGTTAACAATATGTTAACATATATTAACGATATGTTAACAACAATATGTTAACATATATTAACGATATGTTAACATATTTACGATATGTCAACAACAATATGTTAACATATATTAACGATATGTTAACATATTTACGATATGTTAACAATATATTAACATATATTAACGATATGTTAACAACAATATATTAACATATATTAACGATATGTTAACAACAATATGTTAACATATATTAACGATATGTTAACAACAATATATTAACATATATTAACGATATGTTAACATATTTACGATATGTTAACAACAATATGTTAACAACAATATGTTAACATATATTAACGATATGTTAACAACAATATATTAACATATATTAATGATATGTTAACATATTTACGATATGTTAACAACAATATGTTAACATATATTAACGATATGTTAACAACAATATATTAACATATATTAACGATATGTTAACATAGTTACGATATGTTAACAACAATATATTAACATATATTAATGATATGTTAACAACAATATGTTAACATATATTAACGATATGTTAACAACAATATATTAACATATATTAACGATATGTAACATATTTACGATATGTTAACAACAATATGTTAACATATATTAACGATATGTTAACAATATGTTGACATATATAACGATATGTTAACATATTTACAATATGTTAACAACAGTATGTTAACATATATTAATGATATGTTAACAACAATATGTTAACATGTGTTAACATGTTAATATGTTGTACAGTTCAACATGTACTGTTGTACTCTCCTGTTCAACAGTACATGTTGTTCAGTTTGTACATGTACTATTGTACATGTATGTTAATCAAATGGTGTCACGACAAAAACAAATTGTTTAACATATTTGGGCTAACCAATATGTTAATGTTAATATATGTTAACATATATTAAGACGTTCATATGTTAAAATATGCTACATAAACATATGTTAAGTTAATGGTGTCACAACAAAAACAATTGTTCAACATATGTTCGACAATTTTAGCATACTAACACGTGAAAATATTTTAACAATTATGGTAACATGTTAAAATATGTTAGTATATTTTAACAATTTAATTGTTTCTGCTGTGACAGTTTGATTATGTTCTGCATTTTGTCTTTGTTTTGAACGTGTCGCTCTTAATGTATACCTCCTTGGTTTTTCTTCTTTTTTATATAATATCCAGTTTGAGATCATAGACTCTTTATGTTCACCACACACAAAACACGTCATATTTCAGCTTTATTTTCTTAAAAAAAAAAAAAAAAGAAAAAGCAGCCATGTCCTCCACTGTTTCACTTCAAAAACCAAAGCATACATGTAGTACCACAAAGACCATTTTGTCCGTCACAAACAAAACTCCACATCGACGACATAGATGATTGGACAGTTGTATGAAGTGTAGGTTTCAGTACAGATAGTAAAGCTATTGTTTAAGCTTCTCAGTCTTCAAAATGAGAAAGTACATGAAGATAATTCGAAACACACTCGAATGAAATGTGTCCAAACTGAAATAGAAGCAATAATAATAATAATAATCATCATCCTAAAACTGATGAGGATACCTTCAAACGACTGCCTGCGGTGGACAACATCACAGTTTTCAGTGGAGCGGACTTATTTTAGACATACTCAACTCAATGTACAGTAAATCTACAGGAAACGCCTCTGGATTATTTGAAGGTATCAGAAAATAAATAACTTTTTTTTTTTATCATACAAACAACAGTAGTATTTCCTCTCCTCCAAGTCCCTCAATATGTGCAAACTGCAAGAGTTTAAAAAGGTAGCACTTTATGCATGGACCATGGAATATAAAAACAAGGGTTTTTACAATGAACACGTCATTCATAGTGTAGCAAATGTGACAGAAGGTTAAAAATCATTGAAGGGTATCAAGGAGAGACATGTTAAAATTAGAGTCACTGAAATAAATTGGGGAGTTACTATACCAAAGGATTTGTTTTGGAACTAAACAGCTTCTCTAATAAACCCAAATGCTAATATTATCCTCTTTACATCTTTAGAAGGTCAAATACTGAGATGTACATATCACGCTGAGTTGAAAGTGAATTAGCAGTGAAATCACACCTAATACATTTGATTTTTACCAGCTCTTGTCCCCATCAGAAACCAAATGACTTAATATCAGACAGAAGCCACTGATCTTCACCATCTGTGCTTCGACTTCAAGCAGAAAATGCTCCGTTTTAGCAGTTTATCATGAGTGCTTAAACATTAAAGCGGTTTTCCTTTTGTTAAGACACAGATATGTCAGCGTGGACGGGGCTTCTGTCAGAGTCGTTGTGTTTAACCAGACTGAAGATTCACTTCTGTCATTCGACAGCAGTTAGAACGCATCTCCACGCCACTGAAAATGCACTTGGAGGGATGATGAATTCTTCTTGACGGCTTCAAGACGAATCCAGAAGAGTCCAAGTTCAAACAGACACACGACAAAAACCCAAACAGAAGGACACAAAGCCAGAGGAAGGCTTCACTTAAACTTTGTTCCAAAAAGAATAATAATTAGAACAATGACTATGACAAAAAGGATCAAAATGATGAGCATCTTCCTGTTTTTCTTCTGATACTGCTCCGCCTGCGAAGGAAATAAAAAACATGAAGACAAACATACAAATTTAGATCCTGAATCTTTAATTTAGCATGTGGATTTTTATTATTGTCTTTAAACATTAAAATACTTTTCTGTTGACATTTAACACTTAAGGAGATGAATGATCAAAGTCATCCAAATTCATGACTACAGATAAAAATAAAGCAATGTAACCAATTGTAAGATTCAAAGACGTTTATGTTCATTGCTTTGTCGTCATTTTGGAAAAAAAAATAAATACAGATTTATTATTGAAAGCCCTGCCGATCATGAGTTTGTAAACTTACAATCATAACTGGGTGGTTATATAGGAAACATCTAGCACGCGAAATTTGACATGCAGAAGAACTGTGTATTTTGTTTACCTTCTGTAACTGTTTTAGTCCATCTTCTGTTTTTACACAAGCCTGCTCCACATTGAAGTCAATTCTGTCCAGAACAGTTCCCTTTGAGAAAATAAAACATTCTGATTAGAAAAATGAAGTACAAACAGCCAGAGTTTCACTTTATTTTGTAAAGTTAATGCCAGTGTTTTTACGAGTTCTCCATTTTCAGATACATCTAAACTTTTAAGTAAGGATGTTTTTACTTAGCAAAGATAATCTCTAAAATGTAGCGATACAAATACATTTTCGTACAGAAATGGTATCAAATGCATTCTCTTCTGTTTTATCTTACGCCCTAACTCTTTGACCAAAATGTCTGCTTTAGTCTTTGGGTGAAAATATATTAGAGGAAAAAACATTTCTGATTAAGGGCTTACACATAAAAAAAAACAAAATAGAGAACTTCAATTGAAGGTATTTTTTCCCTTCTTTGATTAAATATTTTTCCAGGTGCTAGATTTTTTTGTGTCTAGTTTTTTTTTTCTAACCATTTAAAAAAAAATTTTTTAGGTACATTTTTCTGCAGTTTTTTTTTAAATACAGTAGCCTCAACCATAAACTCTGGTATCACCTTGTTTTGAAAAAAAAATAATAATAAAAACCAAACAATCAAACAAAGGCTTCTATCAGCATGACAAAGATCCCCTCAAAATTTTGTTTTCTAAAACAAAATGACTTAAATGTTCACAATAACCAACGAAAAAGAGAATAAAATAAATAAATGCTGCATTTACAATTATTCCAATAATTATTCTCCTTTTAGTACCTGCTCCACCACCATTCCCGCCAAATCCCGGAAAATCTCATTCAGGTCCGAGATGGACTGCACTATTTGTCGGATTTCCCGCTCCCGTTCCTCCACCAGAACCGTGTTCTGCTCCACCAGCATCAGCTGATCATCTGTGAACCCCTGCGAAATCAAGATTCACGCAGCCGGTTACACACTCACAAAGAAGCACAGAAAACCTTAGCAAAACGCTGTTGCGACCCATAATGCAACAGTAATTTATCAACATTAATGAAATCATGTCGCCAATTGAGTTCAATAACACACCTCCGAATTATTTTTACTTGACATTGTTTTGAATTTCTTTTGTTTGAAGCTGGAGGATTAATTGATTGTAACAACTATTATGTGTGTCTCTCAATGTTTTTAAAGTTTCGAATAAACGAAACTTTAAAAATGTACAGAAACTGTTTATGACATAATTATCGTTCAGCTGCAGCAATGCCGTCCTGCTCTCACTCTGCTGGCAAAAACAAAATCCTGTCACCTTGTCATACAGAGCCAACTCTTCATCCTCTTCCATTAAAGGTCCTGAATCAAAAAAGTGCTTCGATCTCTCCTCCCGATTCTTCATACCTGGTACATAAACCGTCAGCGTGATTAAAACAGCAGAATAAAAGAAACACCATCTGAGACGGATTTACATGGACGACCTTGAACAGAATAAGAACTTCCTTACGTTTTAAATAGCTGGACTGCGTGTGCCTGAAGTTGGTGGACAGGTCCTGCAGGCTCTGTGCCAGGGACGACACCACGTTCACCAAGAGCCTCTCCTCCTGCTCGGTGCAGTGGCCCCGGCGAGACTGCAGGCCCGTCACGGATCGCTGACATCGGTGGAACATCTGAGCAGAAGACGAGATCATGAGCCGTCAACCAATGAAAGCAATGCAGGACAAGAGGTCATGGTTTTATGTGACGTTTTTCTGTTCGTATTAAGTCGTGTATGTCAAAAGCAGCTCTGCTTTATCAGTTTGCGTTATCCTCTACTGTTCAGGAATTTTTAAAAACTTTTTTATAAAAGGCACAAATATAAAGAAGAGATTTTTAAATTCTAATTACACAAATAAATCTCAATTAATAAATAAAAGCTGCACTACAAAAATATCAAAAACTCTTTAAAGCAACATTAACCAGTGATAAATTTCAAAGCAATTAAAAAAAGAAGTTCAGATTTCTGCACAATACTTTTAAACTATAGCTGTGACTCTAGCTAAGTTGCTCCTGTAGGCAAGTTGCTGATGCCACTCCTCATCTGAACACCAATGGACGCGAGTATTGAAATTAGATCATTTAAACCAAAACTGATCCAAATGGGGACAGCGGTTCACCAAAGCACCTGCGTGATCTCCTGGGTAGTGATCTCTATAGCGTGCTCTTCCTCGCTGCTGTCGTCCAGCGTTGGACGGTTCATGTGCTTGTCGTGAAGCAAAGCCAGGTCCCTCATCTTCTGCTGGATCCGTGTGATGTCGTACCGGATCTGAAAGATCAGCAGTCAAGAAACATCAATACTGCGCGTGTCAATGTTTCATTTATGACGACTTTTCGGCCAGTGATCAGATTTACCTCGTCGATCCCTTCTATCCATTTGGGAGGCAGCTTCTTTGTGACGCCGATAGCAGCTTCTGGGTCCAGACTGATCCCAGAGACCAGAGCCATCCGGTCATCAGCCAACTTAGAAAAGAAAACAGACATCTGTATAAAAATGTTTCTTATAGCAATGAAATGGTGTGATGATTGTAGAGCTCTACTTTTATTCGCTTAATTTTATGAAGGGAAAACAACAGTAGTACCTCATCAAGCTCCTAATGTGATTGCCAGAGAGCAGAGTGTTTCCATCCAGCCAGGTTAAGCAAAAGGAGAGAGAAGCAGAAGTAACAGATTGAAACGCAGAAAAAACCCCTGCAAATACCAAGGAAAAGTTCTGCCGTCTACTTTTGGTTGAAAATTTGCATTATTAGTTCTAACAGCTCATACTAGTCCTTCATAATGTACACAAGTGTGCTGTAAGAAAAAAAATCAACCACATCCCTGAGAGACAAAGTTAGATCGTGTAAGCTCCCATACAGAAAGAAAACAGAAGTAAATACTGTTCTCAGTAAGTTCTTATTAATCTTTTCCCACATAACAACCACAGTCACAGTATGATATTGGGAATTTATGATGCGGATAATTTTTTTTAAAAATTACTTAACCCTTCAGAATCACCTGAGCTGTGGCTCTCTGCAGCTCCTCTACAGTTACCGCCAGGCCTCTCAGGTGCTTCTCTAATTACCTCTAGCCTTTCCTGGTCTTGGGAAGTTCGGAGTACCGTACTGCATTTTAAATAATCGATACAGCAGTGTGCTTACGTTTTGGGCTGTCACATAAGATTCCAATAAAATACGTTGAGGTTAGAGCTTGTAGTGTGGCAAAATGTTAAAATGTTTATAGCATATGAATACTTTGGTAAGGCATTGAAATTCTGTTTGTATTCTCCAATAAAGTGGAGTGAAACCATAACCCTGAAAAACAGCTACATTTAATAAAGGACATTTAAAAATATGAGTTTACTCTCACTAACAATGGATGATCAATCTTTACATCCTCACAAAATAAAGTCTTTACTTGTTGTAGGGAACTTGACTATTTCCTGTAAAATTAGTCCAGTTTTGCTTTCATGTAAACAACTGGTGAGCTACACGTTTATTTTCTTATTTATACCGATTTTTAAAAATATAGAATACCAACTAAACACCTGCACCAGACATGTCAGGCTGCAAATACTCTGCTTTCCTGGAGTGTGCTTTAATCTAATAAATGGAAAGATTGATCTGTTCGAGTTTCTAAGAGAGAATGTGAGCTGAGCAGGTATGTGGTGGAAATGTTCACAGCAGAGTGTGACAGGCGCAGCTGAGAACTTCCTTACAGCTGAGAGAAGGTTTCAGGGAGTAAGAAGAGGAATGGGTTTCTGCCTTTACTTCTCCAAAGGTTTCAGCATGCATACAAACATCAGGATTTATAACATGGGCTGTGTTTCTAGACTGACTCACAACGCCCTGTAAATAAAATTTATCACATCAGATGATCAAGAATAAATGACTTTTTCATCGCAGGCAGGCAAGGAATGTCAACTATTCCTTGTTTAGGCTCCCTGGTAATCTGATACCCAGCTTTGCCCATTGTGGGTTTTCAAGCTGCGGGTCAGCCCTTTTGGAAAAACAGAAGTTCGGGAAGAAAGATCTCAGATAAAAATGTTTGCCTTCCATAAGAGCTGCTCTGAGGGAAAATGTTTAGACTCATTTTGCACCTTTGTGGAGAGATTTTGAGTCCACACCATGTGATGATTTTTCTCTCACAATGCCTCAGAAAAGTATTCATATTGCCTTTGAACTTTTTTTTTAAGTGCTGGTGTCAGATTACAACCAAAAACTTCAACGTACTGTGTCACCATTTTATTTTATAGACCATAACATCATTGATAATTGTGAAATGGGATATATTATTTACAAATGTTTTACAAATAACCAGTATGTAATTTCATTTTGGTGTTAATGCAGATGTTCTATGAAGGGTGTTTGTTAAAAAAAGGTTTTAAATTACAATTAGCATAATAAAGACCAAAGAACAGCAGTCATGTCATGGACAAGGTTTCAAGAAAGCTGTAATAAAACACTAAAAACTCTGAATATATCACAGAAACCTCAAAATAAGAGCATGCAAGCCTACTAAGAAATGAACTGACAGGCCGTGGAAGGACAGCATCAATCAAAAGAGTAGGATTCAGGTGGAAAAATTATTGAACAAAATGGTGTTTAGGTGAAATAATAATAATAAAAAATGTGTGGCAAAAAAAACCTAACACTGCACCTCCCCCTGAAAACCCTGTTTCAGGGTGAAACATAGTAATGGCAGCATCATGCTGTGGGAAAGTCTGCTTCAGCAAGGACAAGGAAGGATGTCACAGTCAATGAAAAAATAGATGGGAAATCGTTGATGAAAACCTGCTGGTGGCAACCAACATGTGTCCCTTTTCCTCCACTAGACACTTGTAAAGATGAACATGAGTTTGTTGTGACAAAAAGTCGAAGAGGTTCAAGGGATGTGAATATTGATCTAATGTTTTAAGTAATTAGTAATACACGTAAAAACAACAACGGTCTGGCTTAGCCAATCCAAAACATGTGTGGGTCACAGAGGAAATCAGTTTCAGCCACAGGATGGACCGAGACTACAGCACAGATTACACAGGTAAACATCTCTTAACTTTCAATAGGAACGAATGGTTTAAACTGAGTTAAAAACAGACTTTAGCAGTGGTTCATATTTAACAAATGTCTTGTTTTTTCATCGTTTTAAGCTGCGATTTAGCTTCTGGGGACAGTAAGACATCCTGTCCTCCTCCTGATGCACTGTCATCAATCAGTCATGAAGTGAAAACAAGGGACCGCATCAGCTCTGACAACACAGGATATCTACGGCTACCCGGGTGGTTCTAGCTACGCTGGCTCAGGGACTAACTACATGCAAACACACACAGTAAAATGTCAAAACGATGCAGAGCACTCACCGCAGCATTGCTACGTGTACTCAGACGGGGGTCGAATGTACTCACTTGCTCAGCCAAAATCTGCCGGTTTTGGATCGCATTGTTCCGCATTAACAAGAAGGCATCGGTCAGACGCCGAGTGGCCATGACTGCCTTCGCTGAGCTCTGAGTTAACAGAGGACAAAACTGACTGCGGATCAGCCGATGGTTTAGTAAATTACCTCCAATGACGCGCTGCTAGCTTTAGCTTTTACCTGCGAAGAGTTAAGGGGAAATCTCGCGGTCACAGCACCATCAAATCTCTCCGATCATGATTGATCTCTCGAGCTTCTCTGGCATTAAATTTTAGTGTCGAGAGAAAACCCGAAAGTTCAAGACAGTTTTGTATTTATGGTCAAATTGGGAACGGTTGCTCTTCTCTCAGAGAGCTACGGAAGTGCGTGTACGTAAACACGTAAACATCTGCCTTAAGCGCATCTTCTTCTAGCGCTACGACTCATCTGCGCTTCACACACATATCGTCCTCTAGTGGCTCAATTAAACATTTTTCATGGCAGGTTTAAAAAGCACCATAATTTTTCTGAGTGCTGGCTCATGCTGATACAGAACAGGATACATCGCAGCCTGTTAAATTATTTCTAAAAAAATTATATATATATATATATATATATATATATATATATATATATATATAAAAAATTCCCTTCTCACCCACCGCGGGTGGTTCTTATCCTCTGAGCTCGGGTCCTCTACCAGAGGCCTGGGAGCTTGAGGGTTCTGCGCAGTATCTTGGCTGTGCCAAGGACTGCACATTTCTGGACTGAGATGTCTGATGTTGTTCCTGGGATCTGTTGTAGCCACTGCTCCAGTTTGGGGGTTACTGCCCCGAGGGCCCCGATGACCACAGGCACCACTGTGGTCTTCACATTCCAGGCTCTCTCCAGTTCTTCCCTGAGGCCCTGGTATTTCTCCAGTTTCTCGTGCTCCTTTTTCCTGATGTTGCAATCACTTGGTATTGCTACATCTAAAACAACGGCTTACCTCTGATGTTTATCCACTACGACAATGTCTGGTTGGTTCGCCATTACCATTTTGTCTGTCTGGATCTGGAAGTCCCACAGGATCTTAGCTCTGGCGTTCTCCACCACCTTTGGGGGTGTTTCCCACTTTGATCTCGGGGTTTCCAGTCCATATTCTGCACAGATGTTTCTGTACACAATGCCTGCCACTTGGTTATGTTGCTCCATGTACGCTTTCCCTGCCAGTATCTTGCACCCTGCTGTGATGTGCTGGACTGTCTCAGGGGCCTCCTTGCACAACCTACACCTTGGGTCTTGTCTGGTGTGGTAGATCTGGGCCTCTATTGCTCTGGTGTTTAGGGCCTGTTCCTGGGCGGCCAGGATGAGGGCCTCTGTGCTGTCCTTGAGTCCAGCTTTTTCCAGCCATTGATAGGATTTACTGATATCAGCCACTTGGGTTATTTGCTGGTGGTACATCCCATGTAGGGGCTTGTCCTCCCATGATGGTATCTCTGGCACCTCAACCTCCGTTCCCTGTTGTCTGAGACATTCACTGAGCACATTGTCTGTTGAGGCTTTGTCCCTGATGTATTTATGGATCTTAGTTGTTTCGTCCTGGACAGTGGTTCTCACACTCACTAGTCCTCTGCCTCCGTCCTTGCGGCTCGTGTACAGTCTCAGGGTGCTGGATTTGGGATGGAACCCTCCATGCATGGTTAGTAGCTTTCTAGTCTTAATATCTGTGGCTTTTATCTCCTCCTTTGGCCAGCTAATTATTCCAGCAGGGTATCTGATTACTGGCAGGGCATAGCTGTTTATCGCACGGATTTTGTTCTTGCCATTGAGCTGGCTTCTCAGGACTTGCCTTATTCGTTGGAGGTATTTAGCTGTGGCTCCTTTCCTTGTGGTCTCATCGAGGTTGCCATTTGCTTGTGGTATACCTAGGTACTTGTAACTGTCCTCTATGTCTGCTATTGTTCCTTGTGAGAATGAGATTTATATATATATATATATATATATATATATATATATATATATATTATATATATATATATATATATATATATATATATATATATATATATATATATATAATATATATATATTATATATATATATAATATATATATATATAATATATATATAATATAATGCAATAATGCATTGCTATTTCAATGCGAACAAAATGTTATTTCGGTTATTATTAACTTTATAGCAAGTTTTTAAAAATAGTCCAATTAGCAAAATTCTTAATAGTTTAATAATTTAAAACACCAATCCATCTATTGTCTATTCTTGCAGGTTTGAGTGGCCACTTTAGTTCTTTAAATAGAAACAATTCTTTATAGTATTTATTAGTATAAGAACTTTAGGATTCTATGAAGTCTAAAATATAGAGGAACTAATTAGTAATAAGTTGTTTTTAGCAGTCATTCAATAAACAAAGACGAGTGAAAAGGGAACTGTAATTATATATACATTTTTTTTATTCATATGACGTAGGAGAAGAACTACAATGCATTTAAAATGTAATCTAGATTTGAACAGAAGCAGAGTAGAAAAAGTGGGCTAAAATTAATTTATTTCGTCTTGTATTTTACGTGTAACTTCCCTTTACGTTCAACAATATAATTTTCTTGTAGTGTAATAAGCTCTGTATCACATTAAATAATAAAATGAAGAGAACCCCACTGAATACTTTATATTAAGTTACAATGTTCCAAATGGCACCGAATAGTAGTGGGAAGAAACAAAAGTCTGGCGTGTTGCGGCGGGGCCCGTGTGGTGCCACTAACTGTAATTATGTCGCTGAAAGCTCCTCCTCCGTTCACTCTTAATCCCTCTGGCTCTGCCCGCTAATACTGCGTCTGAAATTCATCCACAAGGATCAGGCAGCCGCGGTAGCAGAGCTCCCTGCTGACCTCATCCGCGCTCGGGACCGTGTTGTTGTTTGTTTGTTTGTTTGCTTGCTTGTTTGTTTGTTTTTTTGACGCGCTCCCGGCGCGGTTTGGTTCCGAGAGACGCAGTCGAGTTTTCGGGAGAGTCCTGGAGGGTTCAGCCTTTCTTCCTGCTTGAACACCTGCGTGACTTTGACCGAGCGCCGCCCCGGTGAGTTTGAAGGCCCTGCCACTGCCAGTCACTGCGCTTTCACATTATAATCCCCTCTGATGGATGCGCCCCCCTTTCAAAGGATGGCTTTAATTGCTGATTTATCTTCAGCTTCAGTTGATGATTAAGATAATGGGACATCACGTTTTTCAAGCAGCCTGTCAGTCTGTTGGTGCTGGGGTTGGTTTAGTTTATTATTATTATTATTATTATTATTATTATTATTATTATCTGCAGCTCCTACTTATGGTGCAACAGCTCAGCGGCCTGGTGCAACTTTTAGGACATGAAAACAAAGTGTCTGGTTTGATTAACAAAACTGATTGAAAAAAAACAAAAACTTTCAGTTGGTAGATCATTATCCCTGAAAAGAGGCGTGTTTCACACACCACTGGTATGCTGCAGTGCTTGGAATGGAGTCAAACCAGTTCATGTAACAGACAAGCCGGGACAGACTAAATCAGACGCTTTTCCTGTGAGCGCGCTGACTGTCTGGTTATTGTTGGGTTTCTGTCTTGTTTTTCCTGAAGAGATCATCATGGCCTCAGCTGATGACACAGAAGGTACCCTGGCTCCTGTGGACTTTATCCAGCTGCAGCATTACATGGAAGGTGAGCTCTCTTCTTACATCTATGGCAATAGTTATAAAATCTAAACGCTCAAGTCTGTAAATTTTTTAAAAAAAAGTTACATTTTTGATGTTTTTGTTTCACTTATTATCAAACTTCAACTTATTGAAGTTTACATGCTTATGTAGTAATTTCGCTATACACATCCTTTTAGCTGCCTTCAGTAGTTACATGTTTTTCTTTAATCTCAGTGTAAATACTGTTGCTCGACGGAGGACAGAGATAACAATGTGGAGAAGCTTAAAGCATGTTTAGGCTCTAAAACAATGAAGTACTGTTCTATATAGTGTGATGGAAAGCGAAGGACACCACAGCAAACTTACCATCACATGGTCGTCCACCTAAACTCAGGAGAGATTGAGTCAGAAAATCAGCTGTCAGGCCCTCAGTATCTCAGGAGAAGCTTATAAAAATATCTTTTTGTAAGTGAAATAATCTGCCAGTGAAACAAGTACTTTTTTTTTGTCAATATCAAGGACAAAAAGACTTAAAACAAGCTTCTGGATCTTGTGAAAAAGTTTGTTTTGTCTCGTTTATAATGTAATAAGATATTTGCACTAGAAACTAGCAGGAACAAAATGGTAAGATTCTGTGTTTCTGCAGCGTGTTAGAATGGCCCAGTCAAAGTGCAGCTCCGAATGTAATCGGGAACCTGTAGCAAGTTTGTAAAATCAATATCTACAGGTGCTCTCCACACTGTTTTTGCAGAAAAGGATGGTCAGGAATGTCTGTGTCTCGATGTGCAAAGCTGCTATCGGCATCACTTCCAGGCATTTGGTTCATCAACAATAACTGAGTAATTGTATCTTCTGTTAAGTATTCATTACTCAATTGATATGTACATAATCACAACAATTTGGTTCATTTTTAGGTGCATAATTCAAATAAGTCAAAATATAAATGAACAAAAACTACTACTATAAATAATAGAAATTAACCCAAAACTAAGCAACATATAACTAATAGTTAATAAAAACTAGCAAATACGCTCTAAAAATTGAATTAGGCAAACAAAAAAATCACAACAAAATAAAACTAAACTATAATCAAAAACCCAAAACTATTATGTTGGTTGCGGTGAAAGAAAAGTTTGGAAAAGTTCAACGTGGGTTTTGATAACTTTTGCAAGGACTGGTGTGTTTATTTATGAATTAGTGTAAGAGCTGAATAAAGCCTCACCTGTATGTTGAGAGTGGACACACCCACCGTTCTCTTTGTGTGAGTGTCCAAATAGTTCAGTAATCCTGCACTTTCACAGACTGAGAACAGCATTAGGAAAGGTCCATAAACGCTAATCAAGATAAGGGAGGTGAGCAAAGTCCATTCAGACGAGACCAGTCCACACACTCATCAGATTGGCCATTTAAATCCTGTCAAAAGTCACGGCGGCCTCGAGCGCCATCTGACTGGGTGAACTGTGAACACGTCAACTCTCGTTCACCTTCACTGGAGAAGCCATTAAACTGTAAGTGGACGCTGCGGCTCTGGGGTCACAGCTAATGCTGAATTATATGGGACCTCTTGATGGGGAAGCTGCACCAATCTAAAAATACTCTATCTACTCAAAGGCTTTGGGAGAAATGAAATGGGTCTGTAGGCCTTTATTTGGACGCTGGATAATGGATGAATAGATAATTACATGTACCATGTGCTCAGAGGCGGTGTGTGTTTGCTCAGACTGTGGAACCCAAATGAAT